TTTTATTAAATGTTTAACACTGCCCTTTTGCCACCTTTAATAAAATAACTGAAGTCTTCCTCCGCCACTGCACACTCGTGAAAATAGCTGTACTATTTTGGTATGTATTCTTCTTTGTGTGTCTTTGTACGCACCACATATTCTAAAACAAATTCCTCGTATGTGTATCGGTAATAAAACCGATTGATTATACACAGTATCTATAAGATTGAGACTGTATCACAATAAAGTAAGACAAGTTAAGAACCTTTCTGAGCTCTGCTTCAGACAGGTTACAACACAGAGATAGTAAACATTGAGACACTGATTAACCTTTTAAATATTTCAATTACACAATAGGTAACTTACATTACATTACATTGCATTTAGCTGACGCTTTTATCCAAAGCGACTTACAATAAGTACATTCGACCAGGAAGACACAACCTTGAAGAAAACAGAATCATATAAGTACATCAGGTTTCATAGAGCCAAAACATTTCAAGTGCTACTCAACTGGCTTTAGATAAGCCAGTCCTTTATTAGTATATAAGTGCTTTGTTAATAGTTCTATCGCTCGAAGTGGAGTCGAAAGAGATGAGTTTTCAGTCTGCGCCGGAAGATGTGCAAGCTATCTGCTGTCCTGATGTCAATGGGGAGCTCATTCCACCATCTTGGAGCCAGGACAGCAAACCCACGTGTTTTTGCCGATGGGAACTTGGGTCCCCCTCGCAGCGAGGGCGCAGCGAGTCGTTTGGCTGATGCAGAGCGTAGTGCATGCGCTGGGGTGTACGGTTTAACCATGTCCTGGATGTACGAAGGGCCAGATTCATTCGCAGCATGGTAAGCAAGTACCAGTGTCTTGAAGTGGATTCTAGCAGTTACCGGAAGCCAGTGAAGGGAGCGGAGGAGCGGAGTGGTGTGGGAAAATTTAGGAAGGTTGAAGACCAGACGAGCCGCTGCATTCTGGATGAGCTGCAGAGGTCGGATGGCACATGCAGGTAGACCAGCCAGGAGGGAGTTGCAGTAGTCTAGGCGTGAGATGACGAGAGCCTGGACCAGAACCTGCGTCGCTTTCTGTGTCAGCTGGGGACGTATCCTCCTGATGTTGTAAAGCGTGTATCTGCAGCAACGGGTTGTGGCAGCGATGTTTGCAGTGAAGGACAGGTTGTTATCTAGGGTCACACCCAGATTCCTTGCAGTCTGAGTCGGGGAAACAACTGAGGTGCCGATGTTGATTGTTAGGTCAAGAGTGGGACAATCTTTTCCCGGAAGGAAGAGCAGCTCAGTCTTGTCAAGGTTGAGCTTGAGGTGATGAGCAGACATCCACTGAGAGATGTCAGCTAGACAAGCAGAGATGCGTGCGACGACCTGGATCTCTGAGCGGGGAAAGGACAGAATTAATTGGGTGTCGTCAGCGTAGCAGTGGTATGAAAAACCATGCGGGCTAATGACTGATCCGAGTGAGTTTGTGTACAGGGAGAAGAGGAGGGGACCAAGAACAGAGCCCTGAGGGACCCCTGTAGTTAATTGACAAGGGTGGGACTCAGACCCTCTCCAAGTCACCCTGTAGGTACGGTCTTTCAGATATGAGGTGAGGAGGGAAAGTGCAGAGCCTGAAACTCCAAGTTTTTGGAGAGTGCGAAGGAGGATCTGATGATTCACCGTATCGAATGCAGCAGACAGGTCCAACAGGATGATGACAGAGGAGAGGGATGCAGTTTTGGCAGTGTGCAGTTCCTCCGTGACAGCAATGAGAGCAGTTTCTGTGGAGTGACCTGCCTTGAAACCAGACTGGTGCGGATCCAGAAGGTTATTCTGATGGAGATAACAGGAGAGTTGTTTAAAGACAGCGCGTTCAAGTGATTTAAACAGGAACGGGAGGAGAGAGACAGGCCTGTAGTTTATAACATCAGACGGGTTGAGAGTAGGTTTCTTTAGGAGAGGGTTTACTCTTGCCTCCTTGAGACTGTTTGGAAAGTGACCAGAAGTTAGAGAAGTGTTGATGAAATGGGTGAGAAACGGTAGAATATCAGGAGCGATAGTCTGAAGGAGGTTTGAAGGGATAGGGGTCCAGAGGACAGGTGGTAGGGCGGGCAGAGGTAATGAGGGTAAGAACCTCACTTGGAGAGAGAGGGGAAAAGGAGGTTAGTGTGTTGGTGGAAGGAGGGTCTGGTGACCCAGCGGTGAGTAAAGGTGAGTCAGAAAAAGAAGAGCGAATATCATCAACCTTTTTTCAAAGTGGGTAACAAAGTCGCTTGACAGAAGTGAGGAGGGGGGAGGGGCTTTTGGAGGGTCCAAGAGGGTGAAGAAGATGGAGAATAGTTTTTTAGGATTGGAATAGGAAGATTGGATCTTATCTTGAAAGAAAGTGCTTTTTGCCTGAGAGATCGAAGCAGAGAAAGAGGAGAGGAGAGCCTGATAGGTTAGGAGGTCGTCACGGTGTTTGGATTTCCACCGTTTCCGCTCTGCTGCCCTAAGGACGGTTCTATTAGCACGCAGTGCATCATTTAGCCAGGGAGCAGGAGGGGACTGACGAGCCTGCCGAGATGTGAGAGGACAGAGAGAGTCCAGAGTGGATGAGAGAGTAGAGAGGAGAGTTTCTGCAGCAGAGTTTGAAGGCAGGAGTTGGAACGAGTCAGAGGAAGGGAGGGCTGAGAGCACCGATGAGGCAAAGGTAGAGGGGGAGAGGGAACGAAGGTTACGGCGGACAAGTGCAGGATGAGAAGAGATTAGTTTGTTATGTTTGGAAAGGGGTAGAGAGAATGAAATGAAGAAGTGATCGGATGTGTGGAGCGGGTTTACAGAGAGGTTAGAAGTAGCGCAGTTCCTTGAGAATATGAGATCAAGGACATTGCCAGCTTTATGAGTCGGTGGGGACGGAGACAGTGAGAAAGCAAAGGCGGTTAACAGGGATGTTAGTTTGTCTATCTTCCCTGTCTGGAGGTTGAAGTCTCCGAGAAGTACAGCGGGAGGGCCAGTTTCAGGGATGTGTGAGAGGTGATTATCTAATTCCTCCAAGAAGTCCCCCAAGGCGCCTGGTGGACGGTAGAGAACAACAATGGTTAACTGTATAGGATGGGTTACTGTGACGGCATGGAATTCAAAGGTGGAAGGAGTGAAGTTAGGTAGCTTGAAGAGGGAAAAGCTCCATTTGGGAGAGAGCAGGAGACCAGTGCCACCTCCTCTGCCAGTTGGTCTGGGAGAAGGAATATGCAGTGGAGAGAGCTGCTCTAATTAGTTAACTATCTACAGCTGATGGGCGACAATAGACTGGCCCTGCCTCTATTGTAATGCAGGCTTGAGTGCTGAGACCTGTGCAGCAGGTTTGGCCTGAGCAGATCTGAGATTTAAAATCTCTCAAAAGCGCGTATTAGCTACAATAACTACAGAACAATTATACAGAGTAGAATAAATGAAACCGAGAAGTCTAATTAAACAAGAATATAACTTACAGTGGTTGCTGCGTCAATAGGTAAAATCTTCACCTAAACGTTGTCCATGGTGTCAACAGGAGTGACAGTCCGCACACACACAAGACCGCAATTATGGCAGAAGCAAAACATATATAATTTTCACTCCGAGTGGGAGGATGATTATTTTTGTATCTATACTAATTCAAAGTCCATCTGTCTCATCTGCAATGCGAGCGTGGCTTTATCGAAGAAGGGTAATTTAGGAGCGGCATTTCAAAACAGTGCACAAACGCTACGAGACGGAATTCCCTCCTAATTCTGCCCTACGCTCCCAAAAGGGAAGGGGCCTGGAAGGACAGCTAAATGCACAGCAGTCCATTTCCATAGCATCTTATCGTGTCAGTCACGTTCTTGCGAAACACAAGTCTTTCAAAGACGGCGAAGTTGTGAAAGAAGCATTCCTGGAGGCTACCGATGCGTAATAAAAATAACAGTAGCATTTCAACAGGTTTTTGATATGATAAAAACTCAAGTTAGATACCGTTATTAATCAGCTGTAAGTTTGAGTTTGTTTGAACTTATTCATTATAATTATTGTACAAAATGGTATAAGAATGCAAACTTAAATTGATTATAGTCTATTATCAATTCAGGTTAAGAAACTAGTGTTGCTTGCATCCTATTTTAAAAAAGGCATTTATTTGTGTAATTTACTAAAATGCAACAACAAAAAGGTTTGATTCTATTAATTTTGTCTTCTTTATTGCACTTTGGCAGCAGATTCCTGTGTAGCTTCAGATCTGAGTTGTCTTATTAGTAAGCCTAATTTATACTTTTGTAGCAACACTATTTTTATATAATGGCAAAGAAAGGGTTCAGAGTCTTTTCTTTTTTCCCTGTGTCATATGTGGCAGCACTGTTCAATGTTTCTTGAAAACATTACCCACTGTAGTTTGTGATGTGTGAATAAACTCCAACTCTGTATCAACAACACTGTTGTGTAACTTCAGTTAAATACTTGTATGTGTGCAGATTAGAAAGAGGTAAGATAAAGGATCTGCAGTATTAATCGTACGAAGGTCAGTTTTATACAAGTAGAAGTGTGTATTTACCTGGTAGTAGGCTGTCAGTAATGGCTACGCCTCTCTATTTGGACTGGTAGATCTCGGCAGACTGGCAACTTTAAAAGTAGCTCTCGGTTCAAAAAAGGTTGGGCACCCCTGCTCTATTGTAATGCAGGCTTGAGTGCTGAGACCTGTGCAGCAGGTTTGGCCTGAGCAGATCTGAGATTTAAAATCTCTCAAAAGCGCCGTATTAGCTACAATAACTACAGAACAATTATACAGAGTAGAATAAATGAAACAGAGAAGTCTAATTAAACAATATAACTTACAGTGGTTGCTGCGTCAATAGGTAAAATCTTCACCCGGTCCAGATGCACACTGTATTATGCATACATAATGAGTGAAACTGAGGTTCTCACCTGCTCCTCAACCCACTAGGATCTAAGATGTGCGCTTGAACGCCCTGAAATCATAATAAAGACTCCCACAAAACACCTGCGCATAAACGTGTTCGAGAAGTAGAAAAATACAAAACAGCATGAAAAGGAAAATGCATATAAAGTTTATTTTTTATTATTATTAATGAATCAATTCCACCTTGGGAGTGGATGCATAAAGACATGGGAACAAAAAATAAGTGCGACAAGCATAGTGGGCCCAAATAAAAACACAACAACACACTACCTTCAACTGAACAGACAGCATCTCGATTCAATCCACACTTTGATCTTTGAGTTCCCATTATTACTCCCCAGTCCAACAGGAAGAGTTGTGAAACATAACAAGTTTTGAAATCTATGACAAAGCAACAACACCCATGAAAACCCCTTTAAACCTTGAAAATTAAAAGTGACAGTAAACTACAGTTAGCATCAGATACTTCTCAATACAGGAACCAAAAAGGATTCATTTAATCTTTTGTAGATTAAAAAAAACAAAAGAAAATCTCGCTTTTAATTCATCCATACAGTTAGTTAGATGCACTGAGATCAACCACAGACAAGGATTTCAGGTCAAACTGAGTGAAAGCTATTACCTATGGAATGTTGAGCTTACAAATATTATTGTGGGTCCACAAAGCTCAAAGATGTAAAAGCACTCATGGTTACAATTGTGTATTTCAACAATCTGTCTCTGCGTAAGTCGAGGTTATTCGCATCAAAGAGACGTAGCTTGGATCATTTCTATGGGAGCTTTCCCCATCTATTATCATTTACAATTCATGTTTACAGAACACTGTAGAGAGATAGTGAAAATACAGTAAAAAAGAAAAGAAGAAGAGTCAAAGGAACGATTGAATTCTACAGTAGTCCTTGTCCCTGGAGAAGTGGAGGCTTGCAGCTCAGTATTTGATAGTCCACTGCTTGATGCTGGCATCATGGGAGGTGGTGACCAGAGTGTGCTCGTCCACCCAGGCCAGGCCGCTGACGTGGTGCAACCGGTGGGTGTCTGCAGACAAGGAGGTGACAAACAGGTCTTAAATGTCTCCCATTATGCTATTTCGAGGCATACATTATGGTCTCAGATATATAAAGATATATTAAAACATGTCTATGATGTGTTTTGCTCAAAATACCAAACAGATTTATTTATTTATTTCATTTTAGAAATCCCTCATATCCCTCTGTTTCAGGCCTGTTAGAGAAACGCAGATTTTGGGTCCTTGGCTTAGAATTCTACCTGAGATAAAGCTAAATGCTGCCGTGATTAAAATGCCATATCATGTTCCAAACCACATCAAGGATTATTTCTGAAACAGTATGGAGCGCAAATGCTTTTTCTCTTGCGGGTTTACTACAAGGCGAGTACCTTTTTTATTTCCTGCTTTATTACACATACTCTCTCCAGTACAGGTTAGCTCTGCGTGTTAGCGATGCTTGCTAATGTAAACAAAGACCATATTACGTCCAAAACACGTCAGGCATTGTTTCTGATGGCAACTTTCTGAGATTTGGGTACAGAGGAAAAGAGAGAGGGTTTTGTTTTCTGACACTTTATGAGTCCCCCGGGGACACACATTTATGTATAAAAGACATAAAAAAGTGCATTTTGCATGATAGGTCCCCTTTAAAGCAGGGAAAATGAGTAATATTACCAAATAGACAACAGCCTCACTATAAACTGTGTTAGTCAATGCTACGCAGCGGTAAACATTTTTACTGCTGCTACATCACATTAAAAACTGTGAAAGCATGTATAGGTAGTGTTAATCTTTTTCCACATTCTTTGACAGAGTCCACTTTGAAATATGAAAGGGAGTAATGGAACAACGAGCAAACTTTCAATGCAAAACTAATTGCATGAACCAAATCACTGTATTGCTTTGAATGACTCCATCAAAACTAGGTGTGTTTGGCTCCACTGCACTGTTTTGTTTCTGACACTCTGTAGCTATTAAAGCTGTGTTAGTTGTAGTATTAAACCACACTTGGATTTCCACCAGTAACAGGATTACAATCTTAAGCCTTTATTTCATCCATAAAGCCTATAGCTACATGCTCTAAAAGCATAACTCTCTCAGCTAGAGATCTCCTGTTGCCTTTGCATCTTTTTAAGGGTTTATCCCCCAGATAGAGCAGTGTATGTCTGCGTGCAAGCCAGGCACCAGTGAGTGCACGTGTGTGGCCTACCTGGGACCTTAATCCTCTTGTCTGGATCGGAAACCGTCCAGATAAACACCATCATGTCCATCCCACCGGTGGCAAAGTGCTCGTTGTCAGGTGACCAGGCCAGAGTCACAGGTTTGGCGTGGTGTCCGTAAAAGTTATTTTTGACCTGGTGGAAAAAAGAAAGCAAAAAGGGAAGAGTAAAAAATATTTAGAAAAATAAACAAAATGACTAAAACACTGGATAGTGAATCATTCACAACTACTGCATATTTATAAATCAGACTACGATTAATCCTGGAGGGAATTGGGTTTAATGACTACATTGAAGAATTAAATAACATTTAAAGACAAAACTGAGGAATACAAATATGTATTTAAACATAAGTAAGAAAATGCTTTTTATATAAACAAAAGTAAAATGTCCAATCAAACATAAAATAAAAAAATAGAATAATAAATGAATTGTGCACATTGTACTACAATACATAACATGTAAATGAAAGGAAAAAAATGGTGGTGTATTAGAATTAATAAAATATTAATCCAGCACAGTTTCAAAGGTTTTGCTGCTGATAGTGAAGAATGTCCTGTCACAGATAATTACCGAGTAGTCATCAGCCACGGTGAAAACGGAGGTGACTTTCTTATCATCTATGAGAGCCAGATAGGCCCCGTCGTTAGAGTAGGCCATGTCGGTGATCGCTCCTGTGAGCTCGATGGTTTTCCCCTCGTCCTTCAGAGTGCTGCCCTGAACGGAGTACAGACGGACCTTCCCATCCTGAGGGGGAGAAAGAGGAAATTAATCTCAAATCTAATCTCACCAAGCTGTGGGGGGGGGGGGGGTGACACACGCTGAGGCTATATCTTCCCCTGAACTTAACAGTACTTCCTCAGACGAAGTAAAGCTGACTGAACTCATGTTTGGACAGATGATGTGTGTTTTAAGGTTTGCACTTACTGCTCCCCCCACGGCTGCAGTGGACCCCCCCGGGTGGAGGGCTCCAACCTCTGCTTCGTAGTCCAGATTGTCCATTGTGAAGACTTTCTTCTTATTCTTCAGCAAGACAACCTAGAAAATAGGAGACATAGGACACTTCAAATGGTTGTGGGAGGTAAATGAAATGCAAATGATGATGAGAGAAAACCCATTACCTGTCCAATGCAGACGGCCAGAGAAAGCCCTCCTGCTGCGACAGACACACTTTTAGGCTGGAAATCCATCTTCACCACATCAGAGGCACTGAAAACCACAAGATAGGGTTATGTATAAGATAAGCATTATTACATTAAGGAGGTGGATAAATGATCAATTTCTGAAAGTCATTTTTGAGGTCCAAGAGAGGCAGATTACTTTTCTCCCTCAAGCTGTCGGTGTTGTTTTACTGAGATCTAACTACAACACAGGACACACTGCATTCGTTTCAAAAGAAGGGCACAGTGTATACGTTTATAACATGTTTTCCATCTGTTGGTTTCCATCTTCAAAAAAGGCAGATTTGTCTCCTAGTTGATAAACCGTGAACATGGTTAGGCAGCTTTTGCTGATTACTTATCTAACCTATGAAAAAGATTTGTTTTGCCACATCCGAGAGAGTAGAGTTCCAATGTTTTTGTTGTTGTTTGGATGTCCCTTAGCATTCTCTCTGGTAGACAGAACAGATCGTGTATAAGTCTAGGGCTTTTATTGTGAAAGAAGAGGTCGTCACCCGGAGGCAGGTAGAATTGCGATGTAAAAGCATCTACTTCCATTTCAATTTCAAGTATCAGCTTATGTGTAGAACTTTCATTTCCCCTTCACGTGATACTAAAACATTTACTTTGCTGCATTGCTTTTGGAATTGACAGCATTGCAAAGAAATGTGTATAAATACATGTCCTACGCATACATGTATGAAAGATTCTCAAGTAACTATATCAGGGGACGCTTATAATGATGTTCCGTGCTGACACGGGAAGCATCCCTCAAATATGGAAGAAAGCTGTCATCATACCAATTTGCAAAAAAAACATGCCCACATGACAACGACTTCAGACCAGTGGCTTTGACCTCAATAGTTATGAAGTCACTAGAACGGATTATTGTAAGGAACTTGCGAACTGAGGTGCAACACCTCTTGGACCCCTACCAGTTTGCGTATAGCGATGGTAGAGGTACAGATGATGCTCTGACCTCTACAACTCACTTCATTTTAAAACACCTGGAAAACCCTTCAGCTTATGCTAGATTAATGTTCATGGACTTTAGCTCAGCTTTTAATACTATTCTTCCCCAAATGATGTTAAAGAAGCTCAAACAGATGGATGTGAATCCTTACTTAATGAGATGGTATCACTCCTTCCTAACTGAAAGACAGCAGCAGGTGAAAGTAAACTCGACCCTCTCTGACACACAGGTCATAAGCACAGGGGCACCACAAGGCTGCGTTAGCTCTCCTCTTCACACAAATGAGTGTAGGAGTCAGCACACACACAACCACATCATAAAGTTTTCTGATGACACAGCCATACTTAGTCTACTGACTAGAGACTCAGACATTTCTATTTATAAACTTGAGATTGAAGAGGTCGTGAAGTGGTGTGAGGCGCTCAACCTGGTGTTAAATGTTTAAAAAACAAAGGAAATGATCTTTGACCCCAAGTCAGTAGGTGATCACAGCCCAGTCCTTATCAACAGGGAGGGAGTTGAGCAGGTTACAAGTTTGAAATATTTAGGGATTTATTTTGATGCTCAGTTAGGCTGGGCCCATCAGGTGGATCAGGTATGCTCAAAGATAAGCCAGCGCCTGCATTTTCTGCGTCGGCTCAGGGTTCATGGAGTGGATAAATGTATCATGTTAATGTTCTACAGGGCAGCAATTGAGTCTATTATTCGTTATGGCATCACAACATGGTTTGGTAACTTGTCAGTTAAATCTAAATCGCAACTCCAGAGCTTGATAAAAAAGGGCTGTTAAAATAATTGGTATGCTTCCACCATCCTCTCTTCAGGAGATATTTGAGGAGATGGTGAGAAAGCAAGGCCGTAAAATCACATGCGACCCCAAAAGGTATAGATTACCAAACTGTAAATTGAACAGGAATAAGTTTTCCTTTGTTCCGCTGTCAATCAAGCTGCTGAACAGTCAGAAACAATTGTGATTATGCTGTGTTAGAGTTGTTGGGAGGTACAATGTTTACAGTGTAGTATGTGCAATCGAGAAGGTTAAATGTACAATATTTGATTATGTATGTGTGCAATAGGGAAAGTTCTGTACCTGTATGTTTCTTGTTTGTTTGTTTGCCATGTGATCTCTGTTCTGTATGACTATGACTGATTGTACTAAATGTTTCATGTTTATTATCTCGATGCCCAAGACAAATGTCTCCTAAGGGAGACAATAAAGCTCTATCTAATGTCTAATCTAATGTTCTACATGTGAGAACACTAACCAATAAGACCTACTGCCATTAGCATTAACGGACAAAACACAGGTCATCATTACAATCCCCACTAAGCTCATAGTTGTTATCTGTACAAAGACTCCTAGTACCTGCACTCCGTCTTGTTGATGTTGGTGTAGCGCAGCGTGTCGTCCATGCTGCACGTCACCAGCTCGCTGGAATCGTTGGTCACCATCTGGCTCACCTGGTTGCTGTGGCCCTTCCCTGAGAAGCAGTCGTTCTCCCCAGTTTCAGCATCCCAGTAATGTGAGGCATTGGTTAAGGGGAAAACGATAGAAACTGATACATCACAGGTCAATAGCCACACCGAGCTTCTTCTCTTAAATGCATTGCACTTATTAAGCAAAAAAACACTATTTCACGGACATTTCTTGGGCTTCAAGACCTTCAATATTACAGTCATTGCTTTAACGTGTGCTAAATGACTATTAGCTGCCAGAGCTGCCTAGTCTTTTCTGAAACATTACCCATCAGCATTGCAAATTGGTCAAAATCATGGATAGAATTTCAGTTTTCATTTTTCAAACTTTTTGGAAAAAAAACATCTTAAAAAAAGGCAAATATCTGTAGTTAGCTGGGATTAAGAATGTTTTTTTAATATGTCATTTACATGATGAACAATTAACATATTAAGTAAAATTGCTATAGCTACCAAAGGAGCTCTAACTTTTTTTGACTTATTGGCCATAGTGTGTGAAAAGGATATTGATGTGTCCATCGTGACTCCCAGAGTAGATGTGAGGTCGCCCGTCTTTTTTGTGAACCGTCACACATTGGATGGATTTGCTGTGACCCTGTAGGATGAGCAAGTCAATTTTATTTAGATGTACTGAAATGGCACATAAGAACAGTTAATGTAGAATAATAGCCCGCCCCACACATGTTGGACATTTTCACTGGGAAAGAGATTTGGCAGCACATGATGCTTCTGTTAAAACCTGATTTACAGTGACAGGCATTTTCTGTCCTACTTAAGACACTTAATCCACGTTAGTTTATCAAATCTAGTCTTAAGGCTGGGTCAGTCCACGCTGACATTTTAAAAAGGCGATGGGTTTAAAGAAACATCTCTCACCATTTCTATAAAATGTGTAAACCAATCAGAAGCTTCTAGTCTCTGCTCTAGTGGAAGATTATGTAATATATTGGTACATTTTGATAAACTCAGTATGATTTGCAGAAGCCAAACTATACATCACAAATAAACATATACATGCTTGCATAGTCTGATTATTCATTCATAATATAAACAGGTTTTCAGCAACTCAAGTTTTATGATAATATCCAGGAACAGAGTCCGACCTTGACGGTGCGGATTGTCCGGTCCGGGTTGTTCTTGTCCAGGTAGTTGATGTACCCTGACAGGGAGATGGTGAGAAGGTGCTCGTTCTGCCACAGGCAGCCCAGCTGCTGGTCGGTCACATCAGAGCCCAGGTTGAAGGTGGTGACGGCCGTTCCCGCGCCGACATCCCACAATTTCACCGTCTTGTCCCCTGAGGCGGAGATCAGCTGGGAGCTGTCGGGGCTCCAGCTGATCTGAAGGATTTAAAGCAGGGTGAGGCGGGGGTGAACAAGTTAGGATATCAATGCAAAAAAAGTTTAACATGTGTTCAAGTGCCCTATACATGTTCACCCAACAACAGCATCACCATGTGGAAAAATGAAGAAGTATTTAAAAAAAAAAAAATCAGTAAATTGAGGACGAAATTAGGCTTCTTTAATCCAGGAAGGAAGGACAAGAAGAAATGTCTGTGTTCACACACTCTAAGCCTGTGGTACTTCACTCACACGACCCATGGGCCAGACAGGGCGCCGACAAGTTTCTTATTCACAATGAAAGTAATGTTTTGATTTTTTATTTCTACCTAAACAAAGGAATAGTTTGCCAGAGTGTATCAAAACACAGACTAAAACAATTGGTTAATAAAAAGTGTCAGGATAGGATCCCTGGGACCCCCGCAGAGGTCCGAGCTTAGCCCTGGTAAAAGCCCATAGGCACATTTGCCAAACTGGAGTATAGCTAGCTCTCCTGAAAACAAGTAAATCCATCCAGCAAAACAAACCAGTACATAATTAAGTGTCATTTCTAAGCATAAAAAACAACTCACAGCATAGATTCCTCCTTTGTGGGCCTTCTCTCCTCCCAGTGTGCTAATGAGATTACCATCTTTTCCATCATAGAGGAACATCTGTGGAAATTAGGACATTAGAATGACTTTTTATTAAGATCAACACCCCAATTAGGTTGAGACATCCCAAGATCAGTTAATATCAAAGCAGTAGAAAATCTTTCATATGGTCACACATAGTAATCTTACTCACCTGGCCATCAGCTCCAGCTGTTACGAACCGATTTCCATCAGGAGAGAAACGCACACAGTTGACAAACTGGCTGTGCTCCTAAAGCCATAACCATGAGAGAGAAGGGAAGAACATTAGAAAATTGTGTAAAGTAGATCGTTAACATCATATTTTATTATTTGGCACCATTTTAGACTTTCCTTATGTCATCATAGTTAATAAAAAAGGCATAACATATGTGAAACTGGGAACGGGAACAAATGCATTTATCGTTCTCGTCACCTAATGACAGAAATACCGGGACCTTCCTCCTTTCAGACCATCAGGGTTGAGAAAGGCCTAGATTTCATTTTGCGTTGCATATCTATGGTATGACATGTTTTACAGTTTGAGGTTAGCGTTACATAATGAACCATGAAGAAAACCAACTGCAAGACTGAACTCTAAAAAAAGACCAGAAGGACATTTTAAGTGGAAAGGATTCAATTGGTGCTCAAAATTGTATTGAGTGTTTCCAGAGGGAAGGCCTCCTTTAAGAACAAGGCTCACACTCTCTCCAAGAATTTATGGGGGAAGTTGGTTATGTAATATGGAAACAAACAAGGCCATACTTTCAAAGACCAGCAGGGTATGACAGACTGGAGATGCCTAACAGGCCTTAAAAAAAGGGCCGCTGGTTCAAAGTCACAGAAGAATGACTTACTACTAAGCCTGCAGGTAAAGACATTAAGCCTTTTAATATATTTAGCAACAAATCTATTTCTTTCTTTTTTTAAATGCCTTCAGTGGGGAAAAAGAGCAACTGTTAATCTCTGAAACTCACGCGCATTGTGAACTTGAACTTGAAGGGAGGGCCCTCGAAGAAGGACCCGCAGGTGTCGTCACTGGCCAAGGCGAGGCGGTAAGGGCGTGTCTGCTTAATGTCGACGCTGTTGATTAATTTGGCGTGGCCGGAAAGTTCCCCAACTGAGGAGCCGGAGTCCCACAGGAACACGGCCCCGAATCTACGACAGGAGATAACATAGCTTACTATTGTTCCAGGTTGTAATAATCCATAAAAACAACACCTTGGAAAGAAAACAACTGACAGCAGGCATTAATCAGTGTGATAGCTGGAAAATGATGTGAGAATTGCTGTTGTCTTGAACATATAAAGAAATACTTATTTTACTTGTGGTATAGTACATCCTATTGCTTTTCTAGGCAGGACCCACCCCATGTAACAACACTGTTACTGTAAATTCAAGGTTTTAAAATAACTACATGAATGTGCTTAAGGCACAGCGTGAGGATGAAAATGTAGTCTAATAGCCACTTGTTTGCAAAGGCCTTTATAAAGATATGCAGGAGCGTCACATTTTTTCGACTGGGGTATTTACTTGATTTGTCTTGGCAAAAAGACAGTTCAAATCATTGAGACTCATTTCAGGTATCCAACCAAAAACTTCAAGACATAAAAACCAGAAGTGCTAAAATGCTGACTCGTTTCCTGGTTTTCGCTGCATTCTATTGTTGGTTATTCTTGACCATGTTTATTCTTGTCCCCCTGAAGACCACATGACTTCTAGTTAACTAACACAATGTGCACACGGCATGTGACACACTAGCTTCTCCGTTAGGTCTTTTAATAAAATCAAAACACACTTATTTTAATCATCTTGTTATATTGCCTATTACTAATGCAATACAAGTGGGACTTTTCATTGACGCCAACCATTCGACACACAACCAATGCCTCACTGAGCTTCACCAGCTGCGTCATGCCAACAGATGCAGTGTGATTCAGATTATAAGATCCTCATACTCACTTCTCTCGTCCGTCCCCAACAGCAGCGATCCTCTTGCTGTCCTCGGTCCATGCAATGTCTTTGACCTTGCCTGATAACGGGGTGTACTCGTACTTGAGCAGGTGCTCCTTCTGGGTGGTGTCCCAGATACGGATCCTACCTGATGCATCTAAAATAATAAAAAAGAAATGAAATAATTTAATAAAAAGAAATAAGGCTGCAGAACTCTGTAAAAACTGAAATAACAGAAAATATATTGCAATAGAAAAATATCCAGATATAAAGACTTTAAAGAATATTGCATCAATCTGGTGCACTTTGAGAGGCTAGATAAACAAGTGCTTGCTATTACTAACAGTTCTGTGCGCTTATAAATAATGTAATCGTTCATTGTGTAGATATGAATGGTGATGACACGACAAGAAGTCAGGGTCAGGGGGGGTTGTAGATATCATCACATTTATAGATACATCATGCAGCCTTAGTATTCACATAAATGTGGTAGCAATATACACAGATTTGTTGACATGTGTTAATGACTTTAGTGTTTACCTCCAGATGCAATGTAGTATCCGCTGGGAGCATACTTAGCAACAGTAACTGTGTGGGCATGTTCGGTGTAAATGTCTGCTATGGCCGGGTTCTGTAAAAACAGGAAATGAGACACATCAGCAAGTCTGCAACACGTGAGGCCGTTCTTCGAAAACAGTCAAAAGAAAATGATGTTGCACTTATTTGACCTGGAGATGCTTTTCAGAGTTAAGCCATCAGTGCTCTTGCTTCTAACAATATTGTTCTTATTAGATGAATTGGGGAGATTTAAAAAAGGGATACAGCATTTTAGCTTGACGCAACCCTAAGACTGTGTTTGTTGGAACAAGTTGTCATAATGTGAGTGATCACACGCATTTTAAAAATTGCTCAGTTAAACGCTTTCATCTAAAAGTACTGATGAGAATATAAACTTGTTTCCAAAACTCTTAGTTAGTCTTCACAATAACTGAATACAAGGTAATCTTTTCTGACCACCAGTGTTCTCTCCCCTTGCTGTTGTTTAATACACCCTGACAGCACCCAAAGGTGTGGTTAAAGGTGCAACAATCAACACTCCATTGACTGTGCCATTGTGGCCTGATATGGGTGGCAGGTGGTAAATGAGGCAGGTGGCAAATGAGGCATCAGTTATTACCTTATGCACTATGTGTTTAAGAGCAAAACCATTCTTTATATGCAAACAGTGCCAAAATATTACCTATTCTGTCCACTGGTCAAATGGATTTAGATTACAGTTTACAGATGATCTTTGGATCGTGAGTGGTGCAAAAAACGATTGGCTTATTTTACCCTCATTTGTGCCAATTGTGTGCCCTGTATGAAAACAATTCAGCAAGACAGTGTTGGCTGACCAAGTAGAGTATCATTTGAATCAGAGCATTCATTTCCATATGATTTTGGCCACTACACTGTGCCCTAACAAAGATCCTTTTCAGGTTAGTGTCATAATGCTCTTTATAAATATCATGATCAGAATTCAGTCAAATTGAATATTTTTAAATGTTTTCATCATGCTTTTAGGCAAAAATGGCCATAAAAGTGCCCAGATTTGTCAAATAAAATACACAAGCATGCAATACTTGTTAAATAAAGCTTTTAAAAAGATAAACATACTTCAATGTTCCTGATGATGACACACTTCCCGTTGGTATACAGGAAGTTATTGCCTTTGGGATCGCCACCAATCACTTTTGCGACTCCCCTCTCCATCTGTGGGAGACTGGCGAATACATGTTCTATAAAGAAAAGACATGATGAGAAAGATGTCCGACAGATAACGTAAAGCATTAGGTTAATACAAATGTAAAAATAGGATTAAGCTTTACTATTGCATAAGGGATTATCTGCGGGAATGTAATTACATTGTACATCTAGGGCTTATGAATTAATAGAGCCTAAAATCTTGCAGCGCCAAGACTAATATCTTCTCAGATAGGATATGAGTAAGCAGAGTTATCCATCACAATGTTCTTCTAATTCAGATCATTAATCATTTTAAAAACGTAATGTCTTGAGCCTCATGTTTAATAAGAAGTTAAATAAAGGTGAAAAAAGATGGTAAATATGCTATAATTAATATGTTATCCTGTGTGAAAAAAAGGAGGACATAAATAGATTACTTGAAACTGTGACTGTTTGGGGTATTATTATCATATTGTGACAAGATTATTATTAAAAAGTGAGTAGTTAATGTTGATTTGTTGTGTGGATATGAACCGTTTGGGTTATTCACTTATATCCTTAAAAAAAAGCACACTTTGTCACTGTTATAATTATCTTAGTGAGGTAATACATACATACATACAAGCATGGGTTTCTGTTTTACACAAAAGAAAATGAGCAGTAGGTAAACACCAAAACGCTACCTAAACTAGGAAAGCTGTAACAAAATAGGTGCATTTATTGTGCTTCCGCATTCCCTTAAATCTGTTTTCTGGAATATAATCTCCACCATTTTGACATAAAAATGAGAGCTAAAACTGTTAACTTCAGGCTTATTGAGCACCCACACACCCTGTTCCTGTGAGCTTCAGACACTTCCCCAGCAGAGACCCTGTCAGCCAGCTCTGTCTGGACATGTCAAAACAATGAGCAGCACAACTATTTCCTCTCACTGACGTTAGCTCCACTAGCTAAAGCTAACTGAAAGGAACAGCATGTAATACGCTGCAATTTAATGCCAGAGCAGCTCCACAGCAAAACCTTGATTAGCAGACACGTGTGTATGTTTAACGTGAACAAATAAGTGGTAATGTCTGGAATTTGTCTTTCTTTAGTACGCAAATTGAAGTGTCAAAATCATGCAGCTAATGGGCGAGGCTAGCTAGCTGCCTGTCTGTCTGTCTAGCTCGGTCAGCTGAATAATGTCACAAAAAATAAAGCGATTTCTTGCATTTTCTCTCCGCTATTGTCATTGATATAAAACATACTTACTCAGTTCATACGGCATTTTCCCTGCTGGTGAGTTGCTTAACGTAGCTCTTCACAAATGAATGAAACAGTGAAGCTCCCCGGCTGAGCACTCCCTGATCACACAAACACGGAAGCGAGTGCAGCTCCTCTGTGCCTCGCTTTGCCCTTATATAGTAAACTCACAAACTACGCTGCGGCTGCTGTCACTGCGACAATTTATCCCTAAATACGGTCTTTCAGGCTCCAAGGCAATTATAATTATTAAGCTCCACCAATCAAAGTGGATGTGTCCGATAATTAACACTAGTTTGTGCTTATCCTGCGTAGCTTATATCATAATATGCTGGTCTACTAAGAGTTCGTTTTCTTTGTGAAGACATAAATCCTAGATTTAGAGAAATGTAAATCCTCACATGTTATTTTAAACATCTTATTATAATGTGTTTATACTGTATGTACAAATATAATTTAGATAGATACAAACATTTACTAAAAGACACTGGGTATTCCTAATGGGGGGCTGCCTGAGAGGCCGAGCTCAGGGCATAATTTCAACGAATTATTATATGCCCCACTTTGCCCCAAAAAAGAAATAGCTATGCAAATAATGAATTGAAATTCCCAATAAGGTAAGGGGGATTATTTAAGTGTCTGAGGTTAGCCTACAGATCTACAGTTTCATGGTGTCCTCCTGTGTGTCACCAAAGAGCATCACCTGCCTGGAATAGGTTTGGGAATCCCCTAACCTATGAATGGACCCTCAGACTGGGGCCATGGCAGCAGCAGAGATAATGTGACAGTAATAAGACATGTTAATATATTATACGAAATTGGTAATACATTGGGATTTGTAAGTGACTGGCAACATGTGCATCCTAAAATAAAGGTGGACAGGGTCATTACTACCTTTTGAGCCCCCTTGAGTTCAGCTCAACAAAAGCTCTGACACAAAACACGTAGAAACATAATCCTGACAATGTTCCAGGGGGATTTTCTAGCTTTGGGCCTCCTGAATCATTCAAAATGAAGGGAACGGTTTTGTTTACATTTTCTGCAACATTTTTGTATTGCATAACTGTGTCAGGTTTTCCTATTTTGGACACATCTCTTAATTATTCACCTTTTCTTCAACAAACATTTCTATCTGTCTTCTTATTCAGTTTGCAAATCTCACAACTCATAATTACTGTGAAAACAAGATAATTGAATTAGCACAGGGTTTACAGACAACATTTCCGGCTTATGTATAATGATGCTTTTCCTGTTGGAGATAGCTGATTTATGAGATTGGGCTAGTACAATTCAACCTCTAGCGTTTGAACTAAAATAGTATGTCTGTGTGTCTTTGTGAAGATGGGAATACTCAGAAAAAGTAGTATACAAATACCTCAAAATTGTACAGTAGTTAAGTAAATGTAGATTACTTTGTTCCTGTTCACCATGTGGTTTGAAGCTTATTTTTTGTGTTGGTATTTCAATACTTTTTTCATTTCTCAAAGCTCAGCTGTTTTCTATGTATTAGTACATTGTATGGGGATTTTGGGCCAAGACTGGCTATGTAATATGACTGTGTCAATATGTTTTTATTGTCTTTATTGCACAAGGACCATGCATAAAAATACAATCATCTCTAAAGGAGAAAAGAAGATATATGCCAGATTTGAGCTCATAGCTAATTTCTATCTAGTTTTCGGCAGGTTCACATATATCCATCAACATTGCTCTCTATCACACAAAACATATAGAACAGATCAAAGAACAGATAACATATAGAAAAGTACAAATATAATATTTTTAATTAATGTAATCAAAACAATCAAATTAAAATCAATTTACTGTCAAGACTGGTTGCTCAATATCAATTGTTTTGTATCATAGGATAAATAGTGAAAGTCTGCACGTTTTAATCTCAGTTTGAAGCATATGTTAATGCTTGAAGGCCGTGAAAGCATTATACATCTATTACATATATACATCCATGCGTGAAAGCCATGTCAATTGACGACCGGTTTTCAACTGCTTTCTGGTCTGCAGAAATGTCGTGAAGCAATATCTCCTCTGTCCACTTGGAGGCAGACGCGTGTGCAGACTGCAGCTCTACCATTGCGGCACCACCGAAGGAGAAGCTCAGTTGCTGCGTGACTGAAACGATGGCGTCCGCCTTGAGAGGAAGCTTGGTATCATTGGTCAAGGTGAGCACAAAGATGATGTTTACAATCTTATTTTACATATAAGTCGGTAGGAAAGCGGTGGCAATATTTGAAGTTGTATAAGTTAAACTCAAGAAATACGTTTTCTTTAGCTGTTAAAGAGAGGGTCGGACTGGCTTGTGTCATTCATGATGCTAACCATGAGCCGCCTTCATTTACACTGCGTTTAAAATGTTAATCTTTTCAAAATAAAATTGGTTTTGTGGCTCCACCTGGTTTTGTCAGCTGGTCACCAAGAAAATACATCTCTGGGGCTTGTCAAACAATGAAATCCACATGTTGTTTATAACGGTATCTAGTGAGACAGTGAGCTAAAGAAGCTAACGTCACTTGGCTATCCCAGTTAACCCTGAGATGTAACCTCCATGAACATAGTGTCAGAGGTGGAAGAAGTACTCCGATGTTGTACTTAAGTAAAACTAACAAAGAGCAGGAACACCCTTCTAAAAGTAAAAGTCCTGCATTCAAAATCTTACTTAAGTACAACTACAAAAGTATTGGCATCAAATTATACTCATTATGCAGATTGGCCCATTTCAGAATTATATATATCATGTTTTGATAATAATTATTGATGCATTAATGTGTTTCTCAAAGATAGTAAAGGTGCAGCTAGTTTGAATGACTTTGTATAGTTCAAGGTAGCTTGTGGATTTACTCCAGGTGTAACTAAGGTCTTATTCAAGTGTTGATTCAAATTAATATCATTAATCCAAATCTGCAGATTAACTAGAGGAATGAACAAATGTAGTAGAGTACAAGCACACTATTAAGCTCTATTTACCTCTTCCTATTTTTGTAGTGGGGTAGAAGTACAAAGAAGCAACAAATGGGAATGCTTAAGTCCCTCAAAATGCTACTGTGCAGTGGTGTAAATGTGCTTTTACACCATTGCATAGTGAATCATCAACTGTTTTGAAAAGCACATTGATGACTGTTGACCACATGGTATAATGTAAATTATGCGTGTGGTTTTTAAAATATTTTAGTCATCTCCATTTTTCTCACTTACCAAATTCAGTGTCAGTGGGAGTCATATGATGTTTGTCACCTAGATTATCAGTTCTCATTTAAACATGACAGCTGATGTAAAGTGTTTATTTGATGTATTCCCTTTTAGCTCTCATTTAACCCAGAGGTCAACGGCTGACTGTCATTGAAGATTAGGGATGGGTATCGTTTGAAATGTATCGATTCCGGTTCTTATCGATTCCCCGTTTCGATTCCAAAATTGTAAAAGAAAGAGGTCAAACGTTTTAGATAACAAAAATATCTTTATTCTTTTAAGCTTTAACTGACAGTTTTACAAATAAAAAATATAGATGCAATACCTGTGCTTTATTTGAACTGAGCTATGCCTGTGGCAAGCTATTAACTAGCTTGTCTTTTTTTTTTTTTGTGTAGTAGAGCCTCACTTTAGAGCGTTTACCGCGATCCATCTTTGGTGTTATGAAGTGACTGAGCTCGTGAATTGTCTACGGGAGGGCGGGGGGAACCTCGCTGCGGGGCAACTGTGGACCTCTGTGGCCTGTCAGCGCAACTTACATGATGCCGTTTAAAAAAAAATAAGGGCGGTGCCGGCCGTCAACGGCCCGCCGACGACTGGCCGTTCTGTGATTCTCCAGAACACACAGATGGCCAGTCCGCCCTTACCCTGTATTCCACCGGTGCAGACGGACCCGGTGGAATACAGGGTCTACCGCGTTTAGGAACCGTTAAGCAGAACCAAAATTGTGTATTTTGTATGGGTACCCGGTATTTTCTTATCGGTTCTCATCTGGAACCGAGTTTCGGTTCCCAACCCTATTGAAGATCCTCCAGAAACATGTTTGGAGAGATACAAAAAAAAGTCACACCCATCTCTGCCCGCCTCAATGTTATCTAATCAGATGGGTACACTTGTGGCTAACAGTGTTCGCTGTCATTAAAACCCTTTATCAAATTATAACTATAATTGCAATATCAGTACATATCGGGATCTATATAATTTTCTGGAAAAGCAATAAACTAAAATGTTATAGCTCAAGATTAATCCAAGGGGTCAAGATAGGATTATAGGAAATGAAACGAAAGAAATAAAAACATTCTTGTATTAAAGTAGGGGTCTCAAAAAGTTGATGGTAATCATCAACTTTTTTGAGTTGATGATTACCAACTCAAAAAAGTTGGTAATCATCATTATTACCGGAGATATTAAAGGGACAGCTATTACTTTATGTCTGGGTAATATCATATTGTTTTCATGGTATAGCAGCCTTTTAGTAACTGTGTCTTCTCTCCCCTTCAGGGTCTGAGCGGCCCCCAGTGGCAGCTGCTGGCCTCTCGTCCACTGAGTGTGTCTGCTGCTCTCTGCGGCCCCGAGAACCCCCCGGCCCGCGCTGATGCCACCTTTAAGGTCACCATGTTGCCAGGGGATGGAGTGGGACCTGAGCTGATGACGGCTGTCAAGGACGTGTTTAGGGTACAATGAAATGTATTGTATTTGTTACTAACAAGTAGCGGATTGTTTTTGCAAACATCAGAATCAAAATACTTTAATTATGCCAGGGACATTATTATTTTTTTTTGACAGCTGCCATAAAATCAGAATACAAATATTTATATAATTAAAGTAAGAATTTGCGATTTAAAAGGTTGTAAACATAAGTAAGATGTCCAATAAAATAGAATAAACATGTTTATCTGTACATAATAAGCTAAACTAAAAATGTATATATTGTACTACAATTTATATTATGTTTATTTATCTGTCCGTCTGTCCGTCCATTTATCTATTTATTTATTTATTAAGAGCCCGAATTACACAGTTCCTTCCCACTCTGCTCAGTTTAGGCTCATTCTGCCTTTATAAGTTTGATGGAAATGATGTTGAAGTGGATTTTCTTTTCTGACTTGTTCCCAGGCAGGCGATGTCCCGGTGGAGTTTGAGGAGTTTCACCTG